CCAAAAATTCACACATAAAAATACCCAAAAATTGCAAACTTGATTTCAAGCCTAGAATTATTATTCTATAGCCATAATAATTTATTTCTCATTTCAAATAATCATCTAAATATCAACAAATCAATTTATATTTTCAGATTTAACCAAAAATCTACCCGTAGGGTCTAGGGATAAACTCAAATACCTCAAATTCCAATTCTATCAACAAAATAATACTCTAGAATATTTATTACACTACTAACAACCTCAAAAACTATATTTATTCAATATAAATTCATCCCTCTTTCAAACCCTAGGTTTTCTAAAATTTCAGAATCTGCAGCTTAAAGGGAAAAATGACTAAGAAAAAAATATTTAGAACACTTACCTAGTCATAAAATACTTAAAATCTCATCTGAAATATCTTACTATGGAGCTTCACCTTCTAAATCAACTCCTCTAGCCGCAGCGTCGCTCGCTCTCTGCCTCAGCTCATGCACAGGGAAGAAATGAAGAAGCAAAGGAAAAAGGGTGGTTTTATAAAAAATACTGTGGGTCCCACTTTTTTTTATTTTCCTCTTTCCTCTCTCTTTTTTTTTTATTATTATATATATATATATATATATATAATCATTGCAGCACGCGGGATGCCGAAAGCTCTCTTCTTCCTCTCTGTTTTTCTTTTTTTTTTTTTGCATTATTTATACCTCAACACCCAAAGCAAAAATTACTTCTCTCTCCCCTTTAATTTTCAATTTATTTTATGTTTTTTTTTCCTTTTTCTTCTTTTTTTTAATAATATTATCATTACTATTTCTATTTACTATAAGATCATAACTTAGAATTTTAGTCTAAATTAAATCTAATAATAATTTTCTAACTAAAATTATTTATATCTAAATATTCCTTTAAAATTACTCATTTGCTCTAAATTAACTTAATTAATCTTAGGTTAATTCTTTGGGATATTACAATATAAGGTTAAGATAATAAGGTTAGGATTCCTTTTTAAAAAAATTAATCATTTAATCCTTGTAATGTTGATTAAATTATAATTAAATTTTTAAATTTTAACTGATTATAACTTGATCTTTATAATTTTAACTCAGTTATATTTCAATCCTTGAATTTTAACTCGTACAACTCTATCATAACCTGACACTAAGGGCATGATTGGCATAAAATATGAAAAAAAAACTCATATTTCATAAGCCTTAATTAATTAAAAATTAAAATAAAATATCAATATAGGTAAGTTATATATATATATATATTAATAAAGTTTATAAAGATTTAAAATATTTTGTAAAAATTTTGACAGATTCTCCCCTGTAATTCGAACCTCTTAAATTTTCACAATAACAACAAAACCTGCCAATAGACTAGCAAAGAGATTAGCTCCCTTCCAGCAGTTTGCATTATAACAAAATAAGATTTAGACCTAATGATAGTATACGTAAAGCACTAACTTATAATTTTGCAAAATATAGTACAAAATTTCATCCAAAAAGAATAATCACCATGTTCTTCTTTTTTTCCCTAAAAAGTAACATGATCCCTTAATGATTCATAAGAGGTGTAGGGTTAGGTATCGTATCTATGACCAAAGCAATTTCTGATAAGTAGCGTTTCAATCAAAATTATAAACTTTATAGAGATGATGAAAATAGTAATTAATAAACTTAATTTGAGATGATTTAATGAAACAATGAAATGTATACTTAAATTAACAATAACTAGTAAATTTTATACATGATATAATTGTGAAATTAAACAAATGCTACTAGTTTCATAAAAGCGTTTAAAATAGATACAAGTCATAAAATACAAACGTTTGCATTAATAATGAAATTCAATTAGGTAATTTCATAAAATTAGTAAACAAATAACAAATTTTATTTTAAATTTAGGAGAGCTTGATCAGAATGAATAACAAGCGTGGATACACATTTCATGAGAATAAATAACCAATCAAGCATAGCTTAAGGCTGCAAAATAATCAAGCATGATTAGAAGCCATGAACAAACACGGCATAGCCCACAAAGCAAGCGTGAGCAATGCTAACAAATATCTATCCTTCCATTTCATGTGCGTTGACCTGTGTACGGGTCTAGCACTTCCTATAAATACCCTATTAGCTAGGTGTGTCATGGCGTGCCAAAAACTAACAGAACTACTGTTAGTATCTAATATTCTGAACTTAAATCCCCCTCATTAAAATCTAGCATGTGTGGAGTAAGAAAATTAATTTAAAAATTTTCACTAATAAGTACTATCCAACCATCCTTTTTCCATTATCCAAATAACTTATCATTTCCTCCATCCACCAATCGTCACATTCAAATCTTACATCAATATTGCAGAACTAAATAATTAATTTACTTAGGAGAAGTAATATTAGTGTTGAATATATATTCTTCCCTTTGTTTATCAACAACATAAATCATTAATAAAATTAACACACATTCATAAATAAAAAAAATTATAAAAATAAAATTAACATGAATATCTGTCCAATTAATAAGGAAATACTAGTAAAATTTAAATAAATAAATTTTATAGACATTTATCATAAATGGATTTAAAACGCTATCCACATACTTGAGTTTCTAAAATTTTATAATCAACTCCCATAACTTCTTACTTATTTCAATGGTGCTTCAAATTAATCTAATACATAATCCAATAATTCTCTTATCATTATATTTATAATTTCTCTAGACTCTATTATAAAATTTAACAATTTTATTTTTATTTATAAATCTTTTAAGTATATTTACAAATACTAATGAAAACATGCACCATTACTAACTCATGAGGCAAGCACTCAAGCAAACCAATAATTTCCATCTTTTAATTTCTTTTTAAAAAATTCCAGCCCCGCATACTAAAATAGTATCCAATCCACACAACACCTAATTATTTCCACCACCTTAAGATACTAATACAGAGAAACAGAGCACGCTTTCAGCCATTGAAGAAAGAAAAGCAAATTTCACAGCATACTAAAACCCATACCCACGGAAGAAAGGAGAGTCAATATCTTACCTTGACCAATGTAGCAGTAACTGCCGCACACACACACACAACTTACGGATAGCACGAAAAAGAACAAAGCTACAACCCCACGGCCCAAGAGAAGGGGACAAAGCAGACTTTATGGACTAGAAAAGAAGAAGCGAAAACCTTTGATAGAAAAGAACGACAGAAAGCCGTAACCTCCTCCCTCCACTGTGACAGCCGAACGAAGATGGAGAAGAGGAAGAAGGTGACAGCTAAACAAAGAGATAAAGAAGAGGAAGACAACAAACCGATGGCCAAGAAAGAAGGAGAGTACGGCTCATCTCTTGCTGATACAAAGAACGCGATGACATGTAAGAAGAATCAGCAGCTCACTCCATTGTGGTTGGCGAACACTAACAGGAAAGATAGCAGCAAACGAAGCAAGAGCTGTGAAGAAAACCTACAGCCGACAGCAAGCTAAGAAAGTTGATAAGAATCGAAGAGATGAACAGACTATAAAGGTCCAGAGAAGTGTATAAGGGCGGTGGACAAAAGAAAACGCGATCCTCTGTTTTTCTTTCAGTCATGCGAATAGCAAAACTACTTTTTGAAAAGAAAATTACAAGAAAGCACTCACAAAAATCACAACCAAAAGGCACATACAAATTACCAACAAGAGCACAGAATTTTATTATAATTTGAAGCCAAACTTTTGGTTAAAAAAATTTAATTCTGAATCTTTGCGAAAGTTTCTAACATAAATTTTTATAAATAATCCCTTTTTAATTATTAAAAAATTTATTTAAATAATTCAATAGGAAGAAAATTTTTGTTTAGATTAAATTTAGGGTCATTACAAATGTATTCCCTACAGTTTTAATTATTTAAATATTAATTCTTATATTTTAAAAAAATTATAAAGATTAAAACTATTTTAAAATTTTAGTCTTTATAAATAATAAAAGAATTTAGTAATTTAAAATATTAAACATAAATTTTAACATGATTTTATTTTTTATAATTTTATTTGTAAAATATAAAAAAATATTTTAAATAGTTAAAAGTATAAGGAGCAAGAACTAAGTTTAAGAATTGCGTTAAAATAATAAGGATCAAATAATAATGAGTTAAAATTTAGGGATTAAATTATAATTAAAATAAAATTATATAAATTAAATAATTAATTTTTTTAATTATTTGAAAAGAATGAGTATGAGAAAATTTAAAAAAATGAGAACGAAAAAAAATATAAAAGCATATTTAGTATCCCCAAATTTAAGAGTTAAGTATACGTTTATAAATAAATATTTAGAGTAATTAATTTTTCTATTTGAATAATTAATTATGGGCCCATACCAAATTCTTCCTAAAATTAGTTATAAACCCTAATAAGACTCTTACTTCAAAGGACATTATTCAAAGAAAAATTATATCTAGATCTCATGTGAAAGAATTTATTATTAAAAAGTCTTATAAAATTTATAAAATATTTTAAGTTTTAAATCTTGTGCATTTATAACTTGATAAATGACATTTATAATCGAAAATTGATACTTCAAAAAAATAAACGTATCTGTATCTGATATATATTTGACACGATAGTAGTAGGATACTTTGTATACATATCTCATAATCTAATATTTGTAATATGATTTTTTTCAATAATTTTTTTATTATATCATTTAAAAACTTAAAAAAATATTTAATATTTATTTGATTGTTATACATATCTTTCTATTATTTTAAAAATTCTTGTTTAAAAATTTAAATACCTATACATATTAAAAAAAATTTAATATTAAATTTAAACTATTTATATTAAATCAAGACTGTCAGATTGATAATAATATTTACTAAAATATTATAAAATTTTTATATATTTTTAATTTAAAAATATAAAATAAAAATAAAAATTAAAAATATTAAATCTAGATTACATTGGACGGTCCAGATTTGCCTCCGCTCCATCGGAGGAAGCCGACTCCATCATGCGATCGCATACTCGTACCTCTCTATCTATGCAACCTTTGGCAACTGTAGTATAGGTCCGCCTTGGTTCCGTTTTGGGGTGTTGAAGGGGTTCTTCGCTCTTCGCTCCATAAGTGCCGTGCTCTGCTTCGCGGACCTGCATTTCTTGGTTGTTATTTGCTCGTTACAAAAAAAAAAAAAAACAAAACAAAAACAAAAGAAACATCAGATCACTACGCTGTCTGAATTCTGAACTCCCAATCATTCTCCAGATCCACAGTTCAGTTGACGAGCTCATCAAGTCTCCAAACATTGGCTGCTCGCCCCGATTTCTAAATTGTAGCTTTTTTTTTTTTTAAATAACTATTGTCATCCCATTTCTTCTTCTGTTTCCGAAGTACCATTGTTTCCATTGGTTTGAATTCATTTCTTGTCCGCTAGAAGTGGGTTCCTTTCAAAGTTGGAAGCAAAGCGCAGAGCCATGGCTTTGGTGGGTAAAGCAAGAGAAGCAGGGATTCCATTGATGAAGCTGATTAGATTAAAAGGGGTTCCTATTTTGGAACAGTTGTGCTTAGAGGAACGGCTGCTTCGGACTGGTTCAGATAATTGGTGTCTGATTAATGATGGTACAAATTCCCCTGCCATTGTGATGGGCTTGTCTGGGTATGTTTTCATTTGTTCTACTCGTTCCTTATTCTGTGAATTCAAATCTGGTGTTATTATTATCTTTCCATTTCAGATATGCATTTTCCCAGTTCTTTGAAATGAATTGATTTCTTTATGTTCATTCACATATTTATAACTTGAAATTTTATTTTCTGTGCAATTAGCAGATTTGATGAACATGTTAAAAGTAAAGTATTTTGAAAGAGAAAACTTAGTATTTTAGTATATATTCAATGCATTTTTCTTCAATCAAATCATATTAGGACAAGTGAAGTCTAAAGTTTTTTTTTTTTTTAAAAAAAAAAGGTCCTAAGAACAATTGTCAGTTATCTGCAGTTATATGGTAGGAATAAGAAAATACACATCCTAATTTGATTGAAAAAAAGTATCTTAAGTATACAGGTTTAAGCTTAAGTACCTACTTTCTTTGTTGCCTATGTTCTTATAGTTTTCTTGGTTGCGTGCCGTGTCAATGGTGAATGAGAAATTCGTACCTAAATTCCTCCTTGCTTGCACATTGGCATGTTTGGGATATGAAGTTGAATGGAATGAAATAAAAGATATAATAAAGTGATTTCAGAGATGAAAAATAACATCCGTGCCCTTTTTTTAAACAGTATAGAAAAGGAATTGTATTAGTCATGATTTTATACTGGCATACAAGACATTGCATAGAGATGATAGTGAGTGATTATTTTTCCACAGTTCATAAAAAACGTGCTTTAGGTAGGTTTAAGGTTCTGGTATAAGCTCATTTCAAATTGATGTAAGTTAACCACACCATCTGAAATGAAACACTCATATTTCTGACTTCTTCTTTACTCCTGTATTGGGTACAAACTGGAAGGAGTGTCCTTTACTTCACAATGGTTCATGTTGGATAGTCCAGAGCCAGAGGTTGTGTATTGATGGTCTTCTTTCCTTCCTAATGATATATATTACTTGCAAATGGTCATTTCTTGATCTGCTGCTGATATGCTTAAGGAGAAGAAAAATTTCATTTTGTCGTAAAAATAAGCATGAAAGTTAATGTTCTATCTGAAAGTGGATATTCTACATAGGAAACTCTCAGAACTTGTTGAAGTCAGGCCTGTGTTGCGAGATCAGATTCCTGTCATCAGAAGGTTTTCTGGGGGAGGCACTGTTATTGTTGACCAAGGAACTATATTTGTTACTCTCATATGTAATAAAGATGCTGTTCCAGATATTCAACCCTTTCCCCGTTCCATCATGTCATGGAGCGGTCAGTTATACAGTGAAGTTTTCAAAGGGATTGGTGATTTCCAGCTCCGTGAGAATGGTACATAGGTTGCCCCTTAATCATTGTGCCTTGTCTAGTTTTCATAGAACCTTCCATCACCAAGTATGCATTTATCAAAAGCATCCATATATTTGATTGTGTCAAGTCAATTGAGCTGTTGCATTCATTTTCAAATCCTTGGCTTAGATCCAACAAACAAAACTATCATTTTTGGGGTTGATTTTCAATAATTCGTTCTGAACAATCGATTATATATAGATACATCCGTGTAAAAGACTTGAGTAGTTTTGTTATCCTTTATGTTTCTTCTTGAAAACAGAAGCGTATTCTTTTTTTGGTCTAGGGGCCTTATTTTATAACTTGATTTTTATGATTTTCTGTCTGTTGTTTGCTCATAAAACAAGTTGTATTCGATAAGTGTTTCACTCATCTGTTGTGTCATTTTGTATTGATTTTGGACTTTTAAAACAAGCATGAATGTCTTGCATTTAGAACGTTTTTACTCTCTGAAGCAACTTTATAAATTCTGTGAAATGTTCTGCATCATTTTTAAGAATCTTATAATGAAGTTTTTATGGAATCACATCTTTATCTTTTTCAAGATTCATATAATGAAATTTTGATTCCACTTTCCTTGTAGATTATGCATTTGGTGATCGTAAGTTTGGTGGAAATGCTCAATCTATAATCAAGCACAGGTGGATCCACCACACATCCTTCTTATGGGATTATGAAGTTAAGAACATGGCCTACCTCAAGTTTCCAGCAAAGGCTCCCAATTACCGACTTGTAAGAAATACATTTTTTACTTTTGTGTCTGCTGATGACTTGCTTTTCAAAATTTTGCAATTAAAATATTTTTTTGTTCTAGTTTGATGGAATCTGTTAATGCTAATTCCTGTTGTTACCTATCTACAATTTGTTGTGATGGAATAGTACATCGGAAGAGTTGGTTGTGAGTAGAGCACAATAATGCTATGTAATCATATAGCTAATCCATTTTAATAGGATCAGTCTTGATGTTGTTGTATGTAAAAAGAATATTTGCTGGCCAAAAATTAGAAAAAATAAAAAGAACATTTTATAGACATTTCTTGTTCACTCGTGATAAAACTTGTAGAGTCTCATTGAACTGGAAAAATTGAATTTAAAAGAGAATGGAATCCATATATATGTGTGTGTGTGTGTGTGTGTGTTATGATCCTCACAGTAGCAAGAAGCCATTGAGATCGAGTTCCAATAATCTCTGAACTGAATGACACAAATAATGAGTACTTATATCTAGTGCCTATTCTCTGTTTTGTTGTGTTTGGAGGTAGTATTTGTGCCTATTAGGGATACTCTTTTTTTTTCCATTCCATTGCCCAATATCCTGGGAAAGCTGGCACAGGTACCTCAGGGATGCCTTTGGCATTTTTATTTAACACATCTGCATATTTTAGGACTCAAGTCCAAGATCATAGGATAAGTTGATTCAACCTTCTCGACTAGTCAAACCAAGCACCCCTTCAACTATTAGGGATACTCTATTTTGCTCTTTTGGCATCCTTATATTGGCTGTGGGATGTAGGATTTTTCCACTAGTATAATGGGATTCATGGGTTAATCATTGTGTTCACACTATTATCTGTGTGCAGGCTAGAGGCCATACAGATTTCATATGTCGAATGAAGGAATTTCTGCCTCGATTGGAATTTGTACGCAGGACAATTAAGGCAATCAGAACTCGCTTCTCTCTGGAACCTGTAGCTGAAAATATTGTGGAGATCGATGTTCCCTCTGCAACCCATTTTTCTCCCAGCACTAGGCTTCTCACCGAGCATGATATAAGGGGAATGTGTCACCAGTTACAAAATATCATTCAGTGATGCGGTGAAGTGATTGCCAAAGCATGGTAAGGTAATAAGTTAGAGAAAATTAATTCATGGATGATTAGGACATAGAATTGTCTTTGTTTCTCTTCAGATTCTTTGGGGAACCTGCCTATAAAATATAGGTGGATTGAACTAATCATGAAAAAGCATACGAACATATCAGGTTTCACTTAAAAGTGTGTCTGGATTGCTTACTTGTGTCTTTAATAATTGGTTTGATCTTTACCAATGGGAGATGGATTTAGCAGAAGAGATTAGTTTCTCAGAACGTGACGAACCAAGATTGAAATTTCCTGTTGGGAGAGGTATTCACATTCAGTACTAAATTCTACTTCCAACAATTAATTAATTGCTTTCGATTTCCATATGGAGCTGGACTGGCACTTTGACTGTATGATCCAGTTGGTTCATAGTTTCCATTTTTGCAATTTGTTTTTGGGCAAAGGGGCAAATATGTCTAAAAAGTCATTGGTCAAGAACATTCAGTAACCTAAATTGAGAAATAAGTGCACAAGTGCCCATTAAGTTATTTTTTAGTGCATCTGTGATCAAACCATTAAAAGTCAACAATGTTAAGTTGTGAATCTGAAATTTAACGATTTGGTCATAGTATTGAAAAAATAACTTCATGAGCACTCGATACACTTTTCTTCACTTTAAATTATTGAATGCTTTTGGCTGATGACTTTTTGAGTATTTTTTTCCTTTGCCCTTTGTTTTTTCTGGAAACAGTACCTAATTATGTAGAATAGAAGTTAATTCACCCTGTGTAATTTATTTCTAATAGGAGAACACCTATACGTCATAAAGAAATAATTAGTTTAGTCTTCCTATATGTCAGAGGTGGTCTTTAATTCTTTATCTCTGTCTTTTCTTTTCCCCTTGAGACTTTGGCTGCTGGCACAGAAGGTAGATTGCAGCGGCTCGTCTCTCTTTCACATCCTTCAGTGCAGGATTCTTTGGTTCCATACCTGAATTCATGCTTTTGTTTCATCTTTGATGGGATAAATGTGTACCAAACCTATTGTTTCTTTATTGGGGGAAAAAGAAAAAAAGATGTTTCAACTGACAGTTCTTTCTTCTTTGTTGATTTTCCATCTCTTCTTTGGTTAAAAAGCAAGATGTCAATCCTCAAGTTGGCCTCAGTATGTAACTAACTAAAAATTGCAGATAGTAACAAACTTGCCCCTTAGCTCGTCATCAATTTAACGTTAGCCCTCTGTTCATTTTACGAGTTGCAAGGAGGTAGTGATACACCCGAAGATGTATAAATCCGATCTCGACTTTTAATAATAAAATTAGAGTTTTGGCCATGAGATTGAGAGATTAGATTGTTACTTGTAATTATATTTTCAGGAAGTGAATAGATGCATAGATTAACTTGTTTGTCACGCGTCAAATGACAATTTGGTCACTGCAATTTTTGTAAAATCACCCTTCGGGTGCAGGAGTTTAATATGCTCTGACATGAATTGATTTTTTCTTTCCTTGCATGGTTTCCATGGCCTTGCATTATATATATATATATATATATATAATTGTCTTAACTCTTAATTCTATTTGAAAGGTGGCTGAAAATAAAGGGATAAAATCTCTCAACACAAATATAAGGTGATAAAGGTGTGCGTTGTTGGATGAAGTTGATGTATAATTATGATTTTAAATAGAACTGGTTTTATTATAGCATGATGTGATCTTTTGAAAAGTGATATTGATAAAATTAAAGATGTTTAGAGGTCAAAAGTAATTTTTAGATATAATGTATTAAAATGGACATAAGTTTTATGTTAGTGTAAATATTAATAAAAGTTTTATGTTAGTGTAAATATTAATAAAATTACATATTAGTAGAAGGAGTTAGTGTCTCATAGCCTAACAAATTAAAGTTTAAATTTTCGTTGAAAAAGGTGTTTTTATTTAGTACTTGATTGTGTTTCAAATAAGATTGCCTTTATGGGAGGATATCTATGAACAATTAAAATTAAAAAAATAAAATTACATGTGATATCAATTTAGTTTTGATCAATTTAATAGTTCAGGAGGATAAAAATAAAAATAATTTTAATCGTAAAAAGATTAAAGTACTCTACATTTTTTATGCAGAATTATTAGTTGTTAATTTTTTACTTCACTTATTAATTTACTAATATTATTTGTAAATTACATCTATTTGTCAAACAAGTAATACTATTAATTATTAATTTGTTAATTTTATTTATTAATTTACTAACATCAGTTGTAAATTATTGACATGTTTTGTAATTTACAATTGATGTTAGTAAATTACAAGGTCTGTTAGTAATTTACAATTAATGTTGGTAAATTAATAAGTAAAGTTAATAATTTAACAATTGATATTGTTGCTTATGATTGAACAATTGATGTTAAGTTTTATATAATTATTAACATGTTAACTTATGTAATTTATAACTCATATTAGTAAATTAATAAGTGAAATAAGAGAATTAACAATTAGTGATTTTGCATAACAAGTGAAAGGTATTTTAATTTTTTCACAATTAAAATTATTTTTACTTTTATTCTTTTAGATTGAACTATAATTTTAAATTTTTTAGGACCCACTAGTAATTATGTCACATTCTTAATTTTTATTTGAAATTCTCCCTATTAATAATGTGATGTATGTAAACAATAAGTGAATGTATCCAAGGGAAAATGACAACTAAGACCCAAATAGATTAAGTTATTCAACTTAAGTACCAAGCGATTTCATAATACCAAATAATTCTATTTGATTTTTAAGGGACATTTTGTCATTATTCTAACATATATGGGAATATGCAATTTTTTTAATGAATTTACAACTTTTTTTTCACTTTTAATAAGGAACATAATGTATAGGTTTGACTTTTAATTTTCAAACTTCGAATTAGGAATTTAATTTTAAGAGAGAATACATATGTTTAAATTTGAAAAGTAATGAAATTTTTATTTTAACAATGTTAGGGATTTGCAAGTTGGATTCGTAATTTTACAACTTTAAATTAATAAATTTGTAACTTTAAAATATATATGATAATGTTTAAAGTTGAAAAGTAATAAAGTTATTATTTTAATAGATTCAAGCATTTATAAGTTTTGTTCTCAATTTTGTAACTTTAAAGAATAAATTTACAATGAGTTTTTCAAATTTTAAGAAGAAACATAAATGTTAAATTTAAAGTTGAAAAATATAAATGGTCACTACTCTAAAAGTTTTAGAAATTTACAAGTTTAGTTTTCAATTTTGTAACTTCTAACTAATAAATTTGCAACTTCTTCCATTTTGACAAAATCAAGGCCTTGATTTTGAGTGTAAACCTCTAAGAAATAACTTTTAGTTTCACACAAGGAATGAATCCAAGAGCCATTTGAGTATTGAATACTCAAAATTATTTAATTACTTCTCATTCTATTGACTAATCTAGATCTGGGCAAACGGAAGGTAATGACCTTAAGTTTTTAAATAAATAATTCTCCTAATTTATATTTTATTTAAATCAATTTTATAGGAAAGGGAGAGTGGTGATTTAATATAACTTATGCTTATACCTCATCTGAAGGTCCCAAAGTTCAAATTTTTTTAAGTAATAGGTAAACTTTATTTTGTTTTAATAATGACAAAATTACAAAAGTACTCTTGTCTTTTGTATTATAAAGAAAAAACGTTAGGGGTCATTCCTATAATTTTTGCAATTATTAGTCTTGGTTCAGAGTTTTTTTCTCTTCTCATGCGAAGAACAGAGCACCGTAAGGCGTAAGCATATATTCGTTTTCCTTCTCTCCATCGACAATAAGCTCCTTTGAGTCCTTCACCTTCGACTTGCTCCCTCCACACCGTCAGCCTGCTTCATCCTTCATCGTCGTTGTTTCGCAACTGGAAGTGGCGAGGCTTGGTTTATTTTCTCCTCTCCTCCCCTGTTTTGGCGGTCGCACAAGTTCAGCGGTGTGTGTGAGAAGTTGAGTCGCCGGAGACGAGAAATCCTTGCCTTTCCTCTATCCTTCGCGTCTCCTCCTCTGTTCGTGCTTCTACTGCGGTCGCCGCTGTTTTGGTGGCTGTGGGGTGGGTCAGTTTCTTTCTCTCCTCTTTCTCTTGTGGGTTTCCGTTCGTCCATATGGCAATACATTGTTGGCTTGCAAAAATTTCTTTCTTCTTCCTTGTTTATGTCGCTTATCGGTGTAGGAAGGAATTTCATTTTTCTCATTCTTCCTCTGCTACGTTTTAGTGTTGATTGCTTTTGTGTTGTGTGTTGAAATTATGAGTTGATTATTGTTTTTTTTTTTTCAGTTGCTGTGCGTGATGTATGGGAGAAATTAATAAGATTGAACAAGCTGAAATTTAAACATGGAGAGCATGTTTGATAGATAATTTCACTAAAATTGTTACGATTACTTGAGGAAGATGAGAGTGGGTTGAATATTAATCAAGCTTAAATTGATTCAAGGGAAAGTGATTGGGAAAGCATGATGAATTTAAGTCTGAATATTTGGGGACTTGTTGGAAAAGGGGTTGAAGGTTAAAAAAAATTTAGTTGAATGAATTGGAAACTAATGCACACCAGTTGTTTGTTAAAAGGTTCAATAGAGAATTAAATTTCACTTAAATTATTAATTGTGGCTAAGCATCATAGAGAAACTATGATAGAAATTATGAGGTTGGGAAAATTTTGAATTATTTAAATTGATATTGGTGGTGTTAAGGTTGGAAGGGAGTCTATTAAATTTGTAGAAAGACTTTTAAAATTTTATTATTATATTTTATAGGGTATTTGGAGGAACATAAATTTGAAGGATTATATCTTTAGATTTGGGAAACTGTCAGGTAAGTGAATAGCGTCTCAATGGTTCGTTATTAAGTTTGTTTTATTAAAAATATTGTTTGACCATATTTATATGTTACATCTTCTTTTTATATAAACCTCTTGATTTCTTAAATTAAATGTTAATTATTTTTAATTTAGTCTTACTTAATGGTTTATTATTTTAATTTTATTGTCGATAGTTGAATTTGGAAATGTTTTTACGTAAATGAATTTTTAGAATATTTGTAATTATTTTCTTCAAAGTAATATGCGAAGGCAATGGCTAGGTTGACCTTTATGTACGAGAAATTATGTTGATTTTATATCCACGCATGTTTGATTTTAAATGTGGGATTTAATTAAAACACTGGTTGTTAACGGTAGTTTCTGTTAGCCCTTAGCGCATAATGGCACACCCAGCTAGTAGGGTACATTGGAGGTGTTAGCCTCGTGTGACGGCCAACACACGTGGAATGGAGGATGTAGTTTTATGGATATAATCTACACCTGTTATTCGTGAGCTTTGTGCTTGCGCCTGTTTTTCGTGGCTTCTTGCCATGCCGGATAAATTATTTACTCTCATGAACTATATGTCTACGCTTGTTAATTGTTCTGATTTAGTCCTGCTCAAGAAAGAGTTTTGATGTTTATTTTCTTTAAGTTTGATTTTGAAAAGTAAATGATTATTATTTTTACCGTATGTGGATTTTGTATTGAAAAACATAAGTCTCAAGGTGTTTAAGCGTATAAGAAATTTAAATTTCTAATAATTTTAATTTAATTCATATCTTCGTACTTTACACACTTACATAGTTGTTAGTCCTGATATTTACAAAGATGCGTCTATATTATCACAATTAATTATTTTAATAAGTTTATAATTGACTTATTGATTTTACTTTCTATTATTTATTTCAACTGTAAATTGGGACGTTATTCACTGGAAATATTTTTGGTCTCAAATAACATAGTTGGTGATATACCTTCTGCTGACCTCTGATGGGGCTCATTGCTGAATTAATTAAAAGATCGTTTGAGGACATATTCTTCTTTTTTTTTATGTAAATGTTTAATTATATGTTATATTTTGAAATTTATGATTAGGTGCTCCATGTTAACTATAGATAGGATCTTGATCTGTGATATGTTTATCTATCTGTTGTGGCGAAGCATAGCTTCGCATTCTTGACTTGGATTGTATATTACCGTTGTAAAGATTTCGAGAGAACCTATTTTTAGGGAGGTTCTGCCGAAATTTTTACAAAAAAATTTAAAAATCTTGTGTGCATATAAAAGTATTATAATGTCTTCCTATCCTATTTCAAATGTGTTGATCATGTTCAATTTTTAGGGCGGGACAAAACGAGCTCAACCTAATGGGCTAGCTTGTTAGCTCGTCATTTTTTACTATTTGGATTGATAAAATGAGCCCATTTTGTAAAATGGATTGAGTGTGTCCAAACCATAAAATTAGGTGGGCTAAACAGACTAGCCCGCCAACTCACTTTTTTTTTTTTTTAAGCGCTATAGTGCTACACACAAGAGATACACCAACTCACTAAGTCAGTGAGTCACAGACACAGTACACACGCACACAGCCATACATGCAATCCACAGACTTGATTACTTCTCCTACTATTGACCACTAGAGTCGGGCAAATGGGTTCAACCTAATGAACTAGACTATTAGCCCGTTATTTTTTACTATTTGGATTGGATTAACCCAAATCACAAAATTAAGTGGGTTAAACAGGCTAGCTTGCTGACTCGCTTCTATTTTATTTTTAAGCGCTACAGTGCTACACACAAGAGACGCACCAACTCACTGAGTCAGTGAGTCACAGACACAGTACACACGCACACGGCACACATAGTCCACAGACTTGATTACTTGAACGAGGTCCACTATTAGCTAGCCCAAGTGCCCAACCCAAGACTCTAGAGTCCAACTCTCCAAGACGAACGCCCAGTGTTGCGAGGCTGCGAAGTGCGAGCAGACTGCAGAGTGCCAGAGTCCAAGTTTAGGTCGAGTCTGCGTCTGTCTTGGCCAGTCACAAAACGCAGAAGCCGAACCCCCTCGACGGATGAACTGGAAATCTGAAAGTCTGAAACAAACTCGATAAAACCCTAGGCTAGGACGCTCACGCAGAGTCGCAGACGCAGTCGGCAGTCGTGCCTTATTCTGAAATCTGAAGTTTGAACTCATTCTCTCGATTCCCTATTCAAGGCTCAAGCTCAACTCTTTGATTCAGTCTCTTTTCTCATTCTCTGTTCAAGCTCAACGCCTCAACAGGATCGCAAATCCTTCTTCTGAACTCATTCTCTCGATCAGCTAAAACGGTAATCGCTCTTCTCGCTCTTCGATCTGTGCTCAGCTCGCCATTGCTCTTGTTCTAACTTAACATCTCTGCTCAAGTGCTCAGCTCGCCGTAGCTCTTTAAGTCTTCAGTCTTCACCTTTGTCCCTGCTCAGCTTGTTGTTGCTTTTGGGTACAAAGTCTTTGTCTCTGCTCAGCTTGCCGTCTCTCCTAAGTGGTGCTTCCTCCCTGACTCAGTGTCTCAGTCTCTGGTTCTCGCTGACTCTGTCGCTGCTCAGCTTCCTCCCTTTCTCGCACTTAGGTATCGTCTATACCAATTCCTCCTAAACCCCCAATCTTATTAATGCATTTGAATATACAAGTTTGAAAATGGAAAGTGCATGTACAAATCATTTCACAATCTCATCATCCTGAAAAATTGAACACCAAAAATCAGATACAACTGTGAAACCTAACAAAATTATTTTAAATAATTTTTATTACCCAACAATATAAATTTCTTGTTGATTAGATATTGAAATATAACCTAAAGCAGCAGCAAAAATGCAGGTCTTTCCCAAAGATTAAATCTATGCAATATTTCTGTAAAAAACGTCAACTATTTGAGTCCAAAAGGAAACATATTTTTCCATAGATTGATTTTGTTACTTAAAAATAATAAGGAATATGAAATGTGTGCGTGTGTGTATTGTTTCAAGTGAAAAACATTGCAGCAAATATGATGTTTGAGGGGGATAAGAATAAATAAATTAAGGAAATGAAAAAGACTACTTACTCCAGCTTTAGACACTCTTTAACCCCACGTCATGATTGTATATCTCATAAATGTATTGCCCAAATTCAACTCCCTCCTTCCCATCTTGCTTCAACCGACGCAAACATAGCCACATGTGAAGTACAAGTAGAGAGAATGTTGCTTTGAATGTTTTCTCCAAGTTAAACACTGCAGGCAACGGGGAAAACAGTTAAAATAAGACATAAGAATTTATTTTTGTACAAGAACTAATTTAAATTATTATCCTCTCAGCCCATAATTATTCAGGTCTTAACTCTCTTCTACCCATTCGTTGGAAGACTCATCAACGAAAACCTAATCATAGAATGCAACGATGAAGGTGTGCCTTTCATAGAAACCAGAGTCAGTTGCCACCTCCGCCACATCATTGAAACCCATCTCCTATTGACATCAGAAAGATGCCTCCCTATGGATGAAATTGTTGACACACTCCTAAGAGTCCAATTCAGTGTCTTCAAAAGCTTTCCCCTCTGCTCTATTTTGGTGCGTTTGTTTTCTGGCTTTGAAGGTGAGACATGCAAGAACTTCCTTAGGAATCATTGTAATTTCTGAATCTATTGCTTTAGAGTTGAAAGGTTTTTTCATGTGATTTTATTTTATTTTTGCCATTCTTTTTATTTTCTCTCTCTTTTTAAGGAGTTTTCATCTCTTGCATCTTGGATTCCTTATAGTTTAAAGCTCCTTTCTTCTCCTCTTTGATCGTCTGAGACAGAGTCAACTCATTTTTTTACTTTTCCTTCCTTGTTTGATTTACATAAATTTGTAATTCTGGTAGTTTCCTTTAAATGCTACACTGGGTGTTGTAAATGATTTCATTCATGTTTTGGATTTGAATTATTAATCCTTTCATCTAATTTGCAACCTTGTTCATTTGCTTAGTCCCTCTATTCCTTCCTCTAAAAAGTGAGTGTTCAGTAGTAACCAAGTAGGTGTATGAGTGATGTTGCCAAATAGAGCATATTGTCAGGTCCTTGTGTACAAGTGGGTGCGTTGCACGCCCTAATAGGTTAATTTTTTGGGTAGAGAGTAATGGCCCTGTGACAAAGTGATATCAAAGCTAGACCTAAGTTTGGCCGAGTCATTGTTAGTTTTAGCTTTAGATGCTTTTATTTTACACACTTCTTTAGATGGTTATAATGGGGTTTACTTGGAATGTAGTATTATGCAAGTTTAAATTTATTTTTCTCATATGATTTGGTGTATAATCTATTCAGAATGTTGCAAAGGTGGAGTAAAGCAATCACTCATGTTTCTAAAATTGGATCACAAAGTAATTTGAAATTTGGCAAAGACATTTGTGCCATTACGCGCCGAAGTTATGCGAAGGTTGCAGCAGTATCCCCACCAACTTCAACTGATTCTAAGGAGAAAGATTTTACAAATGAATCCAAGGTATGGATATAAAAAATCTGTTCCTATTTATTCGGAGGTTCCAACTTTGAAATTGAGCAGACATGTTGGTAGTTTTATGTAATTGAAATTACATGTATGATGACTTGCCTGTGTGTGTCAGTGTTTTTTTTTTTTTGGGTGAAAAGAAGTTATAAAATTTGCTCTTGCAGCTTATTCCAAACAATGGTTACCACATGCAGCTTTTTCCTTCTTCTTTTTTCTCATTTCCCTGAATTTTTGGTTTAACTCAGTCTCTGCAGCCTGCATTCTTGAATGCAACTTCTTGTTGCTTCTTTTTTGTAATTATTGTTTTTTCAGTTTTTTTTTTTGGCGTAGTGTAGGCAATACCATCTCCTTGATTTGATCTGGATCATCATTTCCTTGCATGTTTTAGGTTAACTTAGACAAAATGTTTTGGTCAAAGCCCTGTTCACTGGCCTTGGCTGAAAATTCACCACTAAGAGTTCAAGAACCAAATTTTGAGGGCATCAAGCGATTCTTTCTGAAAATGATGCTGTTTTATAGTAAACAGAGCAAGTCAATTCGAGGAGCTAATGTGATGTACCAGAGAATCCTTTCACAGGTTGATAAACCTCCTATTTATGAAGGTGACACCTATGCTTTGTGACTATGATATTGATTGAATTATTTAATAAATAAAAGAACTGACATTTTCTTTTGTCATTGTTAAACTATCGAAAAAGAGAGGGGGGTTTGAGATGGAGGGGAGATGGTTGTCCACTCTGTATCCTGTCTATGTGACCTGTCGGTTGGAGTAAAAATTCCACTTGTAAGATGTGAGGGTCTGCAGAAAAATATTATATTGGTCTATTGGACTCCTCAGTTGTAGGTCAGGGGCTAATGTTGAGTGGGATAGTCATGTCTTCCTAAAATTGAGGGACTTGAGGAATTTCAGTGTTCCAAGTTACTGAAACTGAAATAATTTTTCCTTGCATATGTTTCTGATCTTTGTGACTTGTTTGCATGCACATTCAAGTTTGTTCAACAGGTCCACTCTTCTAAGTTGCCTTGAGACTTTGGGGTCATATAATTTTCTAATCGCGGGTTTCTCATAATACGGTTTATGTTGTTCCTAGTAAGAGGTGGCTTAGCTTGTTTCACTTTAGTGGGGATGTGAATGTTTGCCACCATGTGAATTTCTTAGTCACCAGGCTGTGGTTGTATGAAGGTAAAATTTACTGGGATGTTTGCTCTGCAGGGGTGTATGGATTGATCCCAAAATCTTGAAGATAGATTTCACCAACGTACGTGGGGGCAGAATTTGTTCACTTGGCCTCCCTTTGGTGCTTGGATTATGTTTAGATTGGGTTATTCCTCTTACTTTGAGGGCTTTGGGATTTTTTGTTCTTGTGCGTGGTTGCATGTGTGTATCACTTCAAGGGCTTTAACTTTTCCTTAATTTACTGCGGAAAGATCAAAAGAAAACAATTTGACGAAGCTTTTAGGCTTCATAATTAAACTTATTTTTGGAATTAGTGTTGAATAATTATGGGCTGAGAGGATAATAATTTGAATTAATTCTTCTACAAAAATAAATTCTTATGTCTTATTTTAACTGTTTTCCCCGTTGCCTGCAGTGTTTAACTTGGAGAAAACATTCAAAGCAACATTCTCTCTACTTGTACTTCACATGTGGCTATGTTTGCGTCGGTTGAAGCAAGATGGGAAGGAGGGAGTTGAATTTGGGCAATACATTTATGAGATATACAATCATGACGTGGAGTTAAGAGTGTCTAAAGCTGGAGTAAGTAGTCTTTTTCATTTCCTTAATTTATTTATTCTCATTCCCCTCAAACATCATATTTGCTGCAATGTTTTTCACTTGAAACAATACACACACGCACACATTTCATATTCCTTATTATTTTTAAGTAACAAAATCAATCTATGGAAAAATATGTTTCCTTTTGGACTCAAATAGTTGACGTTTTTTACAGAAATATTGCATAGATTTAATCTTTGGGAAAGACCTGCATTTTTGCTGCTGCTTTAGGTTATATTTCAATATCTAATCAACAAGAAATTTATATTGTTGGGTAATAAAAATTATTTAAAATAACCATTTTGTTAGGTTTCATAGTTGTATCTGATTTTTGGTGTTCAATTTTTCAGGATGATGAGATTGTGAAATGATTTGTACATGCATTTTCCATTTTCAAACTTGTATATTCAAATGCATTAATAAGATTGGGGGTTTAGGAGGAATTGGTATTTGATGCATGAGTATACAAATAGACTTCATGGTTAATTGAGCTCTTTATTTATATATGATAGCTTACTTTTTACATGGCAGGTTAACCTCTTGTTGACTAGGTGGATGAAGGATTTAGAAAAAATTTTCTATGGAAATATTGTTGCTTATGATACAGCCTTGCTTCCAGAAGCTAAACCGAATGATTTCTCTGATGTAATATGGAGGTAAATTTTGATCCCAGCTGTATTCTCCACCTCTTTCTTTTTTTGGATATTTTTCACTGACAATGCAGTTCCACATAACACAATGTCTGTGTGTTTTTATGTTCCAGGAATATATTTTCCGATGATGGTTCGTCATCACCAGATGCTGCTGCATTGCGGTCAGTGCAGGTATTTCTTTGACGTGTAAAATTTTACTCCATCTGTGTAATAGATAGTGTGTGAGACTTTTCATGCAGGACCTTTTAAACTGCTGCCATTTTTCTTTTTTTTTAATACATGGCAACGGAAAAACTGTGCAAGGAGTTTAAAAAGTAGGTCATATCAGAAGTACATTAACTGCTGCCATTTTTAGAAATATCACCTTTATGTTGAAGTTTCTTTACCGGACTGGGGAGTATGCGGTGACCAGTTCATGGGTAATGAACAAGACACAATGAGGGAAGGGATCATTTTAGTTTATTTTATTTTTCAATAAACACTTATTTAATACAGTCATCAGTAGCATAATTGATAAAGTTTGAAGATAAAAATCTATTTTGCTCCACTAAAGTCTAAAGGAGTGAGGTGAGTGACCGTGAGAAAAGTGTTTTATTCTTATCCTTGCGACATCCTTCCACATGGTCTGCCCATTCAGGTTGCCTAGTCTGGAGTGTATTAAGACCTTAAAGTCCTTCTGGGCAAAATATAGCTGCAATGGAAAATTGGGGGGCTTTTACATAATTGGCTAGTCCTTGATACAGAATGAACGAAAGCAGAGACATATTTTATTACAACCATTCCTAGCATTCCGTCTAACCCCTCCCTCCCTCCTGCATTGTTTCACAAATTTCAATTTTCAGCATATTGAAGTTCATCGCCACATTTAGTTACTAGTTTCCTTTGCATTCAATTTTTTAAACCTTTACCTGATTCTTTTAATTGCCATTCTTTTTTATACTTGCCATATATATGGGTAATATATTGCTGCTGAATCAAAAGTTTGTCTCTAGGCAATGGCCAGGTATGCTCGTCGGGAAGTAACTTGTCTCTCTCTGACAGGTAAATGCTGTCTGTTATTACATATCCTTGCTGGATAACAAGTATCATTTGGTTGAAAAATATGTCAGATTCTTATCTTGACATAATGGTCTCTGATGTTACTAGTGACCCCCCCTAATTCTTTTCCCAAAATCAGTTTTTTGATCTCATCACACCGTGCTTCATGAATGTCACTGTTGCCTCTGTTAAAATACAAAAAAAATAAAAATAAAAATAAAAATGTTTTGAACAAGAATGCCTCTAACAAGAGGACATCTATGCAATATGCACGATAAGAAAATGCCACAAAGTGAGGTTATGAAAACCCAGCAAATATGTTTCGGAAATCAGATGTTATATTGATAACTTGTTCTTGTTCTTTTTATGAAATATGAATTCCTTTTTTGGTATCTGCTTTGCTTATTTTAGTTTACTGAGTCTTGGAGTTTGGATGATGGCAGATAAAGAAGCAATATATTCAGGGAATTTTGCGTTTACCTCACTGAAGCGCGAGATCACAAGTGCAAAGGAGCACCAATAGTCAATCATTTCTTGAACAAAATCATATAAAAGTGGCATTTTTCATTATTTGTTGCTCAGAAAGAAACTGAATAATTATTATACGAGCATGTATCGTTCGCCTGCGGGATTTATATTTATTTAGTTTGGCGTCCTGAAACTCGATTCTCCATTGTTTTGGTCAGATAAGGGAGAAGTGATAGTATAAAATAAGTGATTTTTCTGTAATTATTTCCATCCTCTGAATTATGACATTAACTAGAGTGGGATTCATGCATTTACACTCTTATCTGAGATAGAAGATTGTTCGTAAGAATGTAAACGGAGTATAATTAATTTGGAGCTCCTTATAGTTTTTTAATGTAATATTTGATTGGTAGAAAAATATGTTTTAGAAAGGAAATGAGAAATATACTTATCTTATGTTTTTAGATGCATGTTACAAATTTTTTTAGAAAATATTTTTTCATGCTTTAAATATAGAGCTGTCAATTAAAGATTGGTCTGACTTTTTCAAGCCTAAATGGGCCCTAAAATGGGTTGACCTGGCTTTAGATAAGTCTGATTATACTTCTGGTCAGCTTAGCCTTTCCCCTCAAAGCTTTAGATGTATATTTTTTTTTTCATTTTTAATTTAAAAATATAAAAAAATATCTTTAAAATTCCAAAAAAATTATCACACATAACATTAAATTTTAAAAAATAATTTTGAGTTAATATACATAATAATAAATTTAAGTCATAAAAAATAGTGGCATTATAAAATCAACACTGGTGACAAGTAGACTTTGCTGGACTTTGTTAGCATGATAAGTTAAATCTTAATGATTTTTATTGTCAATCAACGTCAACATAATTTTATTTTTCTTCTTGTGTAGTCTCTTTAGTAGCAAAGATATTAAGCTTTTTACGTATCTTTTTTTCATCCTTATGAAATAAGACTAGTGTTTTTGAATTTGTGTAGTATTTAAATTTTTTAATATTAAAATTTTAAAAATATAAAAGGGCTTAAAATTTTTTTAAATTTAAATTGTCATTTTACGCTTTAAAATAGCATCATGATCTTATTTATTTTTTTTTTGGGCTTAAAAGAGAGCCTGGCTCGGTCTTAATTGACTTATTTAAATGTACAATAAGTTTTCAATCAGGTACTAAGGGTTTTTTTTTTTTTTTTTGATTGGATCTTTTGAATTTGTGCCGTTAGATTTGTAGTGTCTCATTTTTTAAACTCTTAAATAGTGACCAATGGTGTTAAGGATACTGTTATGAAGCACTGGCACGGTGGAATTATAATTGTAAAATTATTTTTATAAATTACTCCACCTTATAATTATAACCAATTGTAAAAACATAATTGTAAACTTGTAACAACATTATTGTATGTAACCAAATCAATTTTATCAATTATATGGTTAAGTAAATAAAACTATTTTTTCTCCTGATATAATTTTTAAACAATAGAAAATTCTGATTCATTTCATTAGTGATGATCCCATTTCATTTCATTCTAACTCCCGAAGATATAATAACAACATCTAGGAATAGAGCAAAATACCTTTTCAACCTATATACATTGTTTGAGTGAAACATTTTATTCATCATAGGATTTGTTAAATCTCTTTGCTACTTCTCTAGTTTCCTAGTTCAAACTATTTATATTAAAACTCCAAGGAAATTTCAAATATTTGATGAGTCAATGGAACTCATTATAATTTTTTTCTTGATTGAAGAAATACACTCATAATTAAATCGAGATTACATTAACGATATATGACTTATTAAAATTCTCATCATCCATCGCCTCTTGTGATAAAGGTAGGGGATGATCAAGGGTATAAAAGCTCACATATAATCTATAAAACACCTTAGCAAGGTGACTAGTATAGATATTATAGTATCTACTAACATAATGAATGAGTATGCTTCAATCTCTATTGAAAAAACACGAACATCCTCTATTACATCCTAAAAGGGGTATGATGGTTGACATTCTTTAGTAATCAAACTAATAGTCCATGATTGATAGCAAGTAACTCCGCTATCATAGGTGAAACATTTGTAAGCTTACAGTTGCATCTTTTTATCTAGTTTCTTTGATAGTCCTAAATGATTTCACCACATTCACTACTATTGAGCTCATTATAAATTTGATGATGAAGAACAAGAGATAACTTAAAAAAAAAAAAAACCCTACTTCTCTTTGTCTTTTCTTTCTTGACATTATATCTAACATGTGAATGGATTTAGGTTTATCTATGAGAAGATTATCACTTCTACAATTTTTAAATGCATAACAATTAGATGGAATCAAACTCTAATTCGTACAAACTGCTAATTCAAACTCTTCATACATTTCAGCCTCTCTCAAAAAACCACATAGGAGCATAAGGATAGAATGACAAGTGGATCACCAAATTGCCTACTAAAAAATCAATCTACCTCACCAGCAAAACTTATTATAAACAAGTCTATATATAGTGTTATTGTCAAGCTAAGATAAATAATCAAACCAAACTAATCAACAAACACTTTAGAAATCAAATACATATAATATTATAATTAGAATTATAATTACTACTAGTTTACTCCCAAGTGCACTTGACATGATTTGAGTGTCTAAAATCACAAGTTAACACAATGCTTCCATCCATTCTCTTCAACACAAAGCTTTCTACCAACACATAGAATCCAAAATTCCTCCACATTCCCTCAAACTTTTCCACTCTTTCAAATCTCACTTGTTTCCTCTCATTATTCTTTCCTCTCTCTTCCTCCCATCTCATCCTTTCCACAATGGCCATGCTCAGCCCTACCTTTCTCTCTCCTCTCTCCAAACTCCTAGACCACATCACACCCTCTTCTCCAACTTTTTCTTCCTCCCAAACAGCTTCTCTACCATCTCCCAGCCCTGCAACTTCAGTTTTAACCACAACATCCACACCCAATTCATTACTATTCCCACTGTTTTCCTCAGAGAAAACTTTGTCCCACCTTCTTTCAAGTGTCATTTCATAGAAAACTGACCTCTTCATTTGTTCCTTTAGACTCACTCCTTCTTCCTTTACAAACATGATCTGGTGGCAATTGGGCTCTCAAGGCGGGGTTGATGCCGAGAGCTTCACCCAATTGGTAATGGCGTGGTATCTTGGCGGACAGATTCCAACCTTTTCTCCTCAAGAACTTAGGAGCAAACCCATCTGAGACAATGGACTTGGCTTGAAATTCCTCCCCCTCCCCCTCTTTTTCATAATCTCAAATTGTTGATATTCATCCGACGGATTTAGAGGTCTTGATTTATACAAAAGAGCTTCAGGCTCTCTTTTGTATAAAGATTGAAGTCTTGTAATAAATTAAAAGTTATTTGAATTAATGATCATTTGTGCTTTTAAAATACACTTTTGAATATATAATGACTAAAAGGAACATTAATTTATGATAATTTATAATTTTTGTTATACAAATATAATATATTAAAAATGTAAAAAAAATTCAAAATAACATAAAATTAATATGTTAAATAATAAGAATAAAAAATATAAAGTTTAATATTGAAAAAAATGTAATAAATAATTCAACGGTCATTAATATTGAATGGCACACCCTATAAATAGGATTAACAATATTTTTCTTTTTCTTTTTATATACAGAAGGTTAACAAATTGCCTCCCCATATAATTTATTTGGCCTTATGGCTATTAAATTTAAATTCTAATGAAATAGAGCACTCCATAAGTACTATAAGGGAAGAAGGGCAATATAGTAAATAAAAAACTCCACTAAAAAGTAGTTTAAAAAAATTTAAAAAGTTAAGTTCTCAAATTCAATTTCAATAGCTTTCTCAATGTGTATTCAAATAGTCAATTTGTCTAATTATAAAATTTTCAAACAACATTCTACATCTCAAAAATGTAAAAATATATTTTAAAAGTTAAAAATTATGTATCCAAATGAACTCTTAAATTGTTGGGGTTGTGTGTTTGATGGTGTTATTAATGATTCTGTGTGTGATTTGCTATAAATCTATCAGCTAGTGCATGCAGGCTTCTTGTCCAAACGGCTCATAATTATACAGGAACCTGAGTGGAAGTTCCACTTGTTTGTCTTTTGGCAAATAAACGTCAACAGGATAAGATTGAATAATGAATAATCAGACGTTGTCCTTGATTCGTTAAGAGTCAAAGATACGTGTAATGGAAGCATTATCGCAATGATTATATTTGAACACTCTTCCTAGCTATAATTAAATAATTATTAATTAACTTACTTTTTAAAAAAATATTCATATCTTTTATTTATGTATTTAAATGAAATATTTAAACTATCATCATCAATTACATTAGTTTCATTAAAACAAGTATAAATGTTAAAAGACATAAATTTATCTAATAATTACATTAGTTTTTAGAAAATGACATATATTGTAGTTTGAATAGAGTGCTTGACAAATTAAATACCTTTAGTTTTAACATGTATGATATTGAAATTTATGCAGTAAATATGATAAGAAGCTAGCTAATGAATTAGAGAAATTCTTGAAAGGATCAATTTAAGAATATTACTTTGTGCGTATTATGAGGAATTTTTTAAAAATATTATGTTACAAATAGAAGGTGTTATGGACCTTTTAAGATTTTAAAAGGCCCTTAATTAGAGGATTTAATTAATAAAATTTTTTAATTGAGATAATCTATTAAATAAATATAAATATGAAAAGAATGTGTAATTTTAAAGATAATTAATTAACTTTATTGAGAGGTATAATTTGATTAAAAATGTCTTATAACATTAAATGGATAAAGCATATGATGTGAATAATCATTAAACCTTTTGCTTTTTATTTTTTTAATTATTCCAGCTACTTATTATAATCACAAACAGTGTAGGTCGTGTGTTAAATTTTGTGCAAAACATGAGTTCTCATTTTAGTTTTATTTTAAATTTAATGTCAACCAGCATTTTGAGAATCAGTTTGTTGAGGAAATATTTAATATTTTAAATCATAAATCATTAAATAAACAACTTACCTACCAGCAACATCTCATAATAAAACGAATTGCCTTTTGAACTTGCACACATCAATTGAGTGAGACATTGTATGTATCATTGGGTTTATTAAATCTGTTTGCCACTTCTCCATCCCAAGGAAATTTCAAATCTTTGATATGAATGAATGGAACTTATTATAAATTTGATGATTAAAAAAAAAAAGAGATAACTTTGAAAGAAAAAACTACTTCTCTTTGACTTTCTTCTTGACACATTTTATATATCCACACATGATTGATACACACACACCAGTAAAAATTGGTCCAATTAGTTCAGATACAGTGCGTAAGCCATAAGCTAGGTCATGATGACTTTAAATATCATTATTGATTTGAAAACTTCGTTAGTGAATTATTTACAAATATCTCTGTAAGCACTAATAATTTAACTCCTAAGATATATCTTGATGCCAGCGAGTTCCTAGATATAGCTTTATTTATCTATGAGAAGGTTGTCTCTCCTGCGATTTATTAATACAAGAGTTAGATGGAATCAAACTATATTTCATACAAATCACTCTTCATATATTCATAACCTCTCTGAGCAAACCACTTTGGAGCATAAGAATATATATATATATATATATAGAGAGAGAGAGAGAGAGAGAGAGAGAGAGAGAGAGAGAGAGAGAGAGAGAGAGAATCACAGATAGTGGATTATAATGCCAAATTGCGTATTAATTAGTTAACAGTAATCTATCTCATCGGCATAACTGGCAAGTCTAAATGGTTATTGTCTTGTTGTGTCAAGCTACAAAATAAATAAGAAAACCAACTAGTCAACAAATACATCATTGATATGTTTTTACTGCAATGGCGTCTCTATCTAGTATATATTATATGGGGAGCGGTAAAAGTGTAAACAACCTAATTTTAACAAAAAAAAAAAAATTCAAATATCATGGTAGTAAAAAATATTACACTAACACAAATAATTGTCATGATATAAAAATTTATAATCAATTCTCAAATTTATTTTTAAAAAAATAATTAGAAAGAAAAAGAGTTAATTTATATTTTATGAAACTTCCATCTTTATAAAAATTCATCTAATAAATAGATATTTAAAAATATAGCTTTGATAGAAATGACAAAGTTATTTAAAAAGCTACCAAAGTTACAAAAGTTGCCCTTACTACTTAAAACTATAACTGATACTCTATTATGGTAGAAAAGAGTCTATTATAGTAGATAGAAAACAACCTAAAAATAAATATTTCATTCGACAAGAGTTTAGGTTTACTAAAGCTTGCAGATGTTAGATCCTACTATAAATACTTAAATATTTATTTCAATAAATGTCTCGACCAAACAAGAGGTATCACTATCTGACATTCCCCCTTCACTAACCTGGCCAGGTAAGTAATGAGGAATGAGGTTTTGAAAGAAGCCGACCACTGTGTGCATAGTGAAGGCAAACCACATGGTTACTAATTCATTTATACATCAACTCTTCATCAACCATTCCTCAATGCATACTTTACATATATAACATTTATATCGCATACAAGCATGCTTGAAAAGAAATAAAAATATCTCATTTAATCAACTCAATTTATGAGCACACTTGAAAGAAATAAACTACTCTTCAATAATATACAATTTCCATAAAATAAATATTATTAATCTGCATTGGCAAACATACTCGAAAAGAAACACTAACAATAATATTTAGCCAAGCTACAAGCATGCTTGACAATATTCAATTAACATATAAATTTTTCATAATTAAATTTATGGTTATTCACATTCATTATTGTTGCGCTCGAATTATGAGTTTTCCAATGAGGGAAGGTTAATAAATATGTGAAAATAGGCGTTGACACCTAACTTTTTAGAAAATTTGAAAAACTGTATAATGGAAGAGGATAGTTTGTGAAAAGAATTTATGAGTCGATTATGTATAAAGAAAGTGTTAAGCACCTCATGACACCCGTTTATAAGAACGGTTACCCTAAGTTGATTGTGCAAAATTTATTGGCCTTTAAATAATATCTTAATTACCCTTTAATCACATGCAAAAATAAAGGTTAAAAAAAATAAAAAAATTATTTATTTATAAAGGAGGACTTAACCTAGGATCAAAGCCTAGAGCTTATGTACCTTGTGATGGGTATCAAAATTTACATAGATTAAAATAATATTATTTAAGTTTTTTTAAATTATTTTAATTGATTTCTTTTATGAAAAGATTGATATTTTAGGTTATATTATTATATCTATATTTTAAATAATAATTTTTTTCAAAGAAGTACCTTTGGGTAAGAGAAAAATAATCAGTATTGGAACCTACAGTGATTTGGTATCAACCATAATTCGCTAGTTGACATACTAGGTGCACACAGTGATTAGTATTACTCATGGCAATGGCAATTCTTAAAGAAATAAAAGGAATTTTCAAGAATAATTTTCTAGAAAATATTTTAATAAGGTAATTTTGATAGATATTTTTAGAAATTCATGATGATTTAATATCACTTATGGTATAACCTAAAATATGCTGAAAAATTTGTTATTTTCAAGAGAGTTTTCTTTATTTGATGATTATGATGATTTAATATCATTCACAATGTGTCAAAATATCCATGATGATTTGGCACCACTCATAAAAAATTAATAAAATTACAATTATAAACTAATTTAAAAACCACTCTACGCTTCTTTTATTATTGACAATACAATGAAATAGGAAGATGTCTAAGAAAAAGCAATTGTATTCCCATCCTATTAATCTACACCACCTAATACATAGGTATTATCATCAATATATATTATAATTAATGGCCATCAAAGGATAAAAGCAAAGCAATCTCAATGTCAATCAATCGAGAGTCTACCATAAAGATAGATCCAAAAGCAATAGAGGTCAAGCATGTGGCCGGCCACTTTTAGATTTTATTTTAAAATAATCATAACAAAGAAACAAATCAGACACAAGATGCAAGACTTATGTCAGCTCCAAACACAATGAATTCGTATGCTATGAGTACTTTGCAGCCTTACCTGCATTCAAGCATCATCACTTCTTGTTGAAAGAAGGAAAAAGTGGTGGCTAATCATTGGAGATCAAATGTTCGCAGATGGGACAAATGAACAAGAATTAACATGCGCATGATAACAACATACCTAGGATATTATGTGCTTTGCTTCACTATTTAACCTCAAATTTTCTCTTGTACTCTTTCATCTCCCTTCCAATTTTTCTCTCAATTTTTCCCATCCCCTATCTTCTTTGCTATTCTTTTTATAAGCACTAACTAAAATTTTTTTCTCTCTTAATGACAGAATCAAGCATATTAAGGCAGGTTCTATTTTGACTTTTCTTCATTATTTCAAATTTTTAAACTTTTATTAAAGTCATTTAATTTGATAGAAACAAAATTGAGGCGAATTTGGAGTCAATTAAAAAAAAACTTTCTTTTAAAGTTATGAAGATATTGTTTTATTTTTTATTTTTTATAAAACCCTATTTTTCCTTTTTTATTTAATTTATTTAACTTAATTAATTTTTTTGGGCTTTTTATTTATTTCTAATTTACATTTGAAAGCTCGAATAAAATATGATGTTCATAGTTGCCCCTCTTTATGTGTTTCATAGGTGAGGGTAATGACTGTATTTTTCTGGTACTCTTGCTTAAGAAGAAAGTAAAGATAAAAACACATAATTTTTCTAGTCAAACATCCAACTACCACAAATAAAAATGCGAACCCTTAATGCTATCATAAGAATTAAAAGAGGTCTGGAAAAAATGTAGTGTCCATACCCCTCTTTACTTGTTTCTTAGGGGGAGAAGGTGGAAGATAGGAGAATGAAAGAAGATTGAGAAAAAAAAAATGCCTATCATGATGCAGGACTTGAGTGCCATTGGCAACAATAGGTGAAAGTGATGTGCCTACTTTTATGGTGGAGGTGATGCATCTGATAGGACAAAGCATTTAAAAGAATAATGCAAATGATTATTGAAAAAAAAAAAAGATACCAACTGTTACTGGGCTTTAAGAAGAATGGTACCAATAGTTGTTGGACTTTAAAAAGAATGGTGCCAACCTTATTGGGCTTTAAGACAAATGGAGCCAATAGTTGTTAGACTTTGAAAAGAATGGTGCTAGTTGATATTGAGCTTTTAAAGAGGTGCTAGCTATTACTAGGCTTTAAAGTACCTATCATTACAGGGCTTTGAAAGGGGTTCCATTTGTTATTGGGCTTTGAAAAAGGTGCCAGCTGTTATGGGGCTTAGGAGTGCTTGCCATTACAGAGCTTTAAAGGGGGAGTCAATTGTTACCAGGCTTAGAGGTGCCTGCCGTTATAGGGATTGCAAAGGGGTGCTAGTCGTTACTGAGCTTTGTAGTGCCTATCATTACAAGGCTTTGAAAAGAGTGCCAATTGTTGTTAGACTTCAAAAAAGATGCTAGCCGTTATAGGGCTTTGAAAGGGGCGCTAGCTATTATTGGACTTCAAGGTGCCTATTGCTACATTGCTTTCAAAGGGATGCCAGTCGTTAATAAGCTTTGCAGTACCTACCATTACAAGGCTTTGAACGGGGTGCTAGCTATCATTAGGCTTTGGAGTACCTGTCGTTACAAGGCTTTAAAAGGAGTGCCAACCATTACTAGGCTTCATAAAGTTGCCAGCTATTATAGGGCTTTAAAAAGGTTGCTAGCCGTGACTCGACTTCAAGGTGCTTGCCATTATAGGGTTTTAAAATGGGTGCCAATTGTTACAAGGCTTCTGGGTGCTTATCATCATTGGGTTTTGAATGGGGTGCCAATTATTACTGGGCTTTAAGGTTCTTGCCGTTATTGGGCTTTGAAAGGGGTGCCGGCCATTATTAGGCTTCGAGGTGCCATCGTTACAGGGCTTTGAAAAAGGTGCTAGCCTTTAGTGGGCTTCGGCATGTTTGTTATTACAAGGCTTTGAAAGGGGTATTAGCTATTATTGAGCTTTGGGATACTTGTCGTTACAGGATTTTGAAAGGAGTACCAGCCATTATTGGACTTCAAGGTGCTTGCCATTATAAGGCTTTGGAAGGGGTTTCAATCATTACTGGGCTTTAGGGTATCAACCATTACAGGAATTTGAAGGGGAGCCATTCATTATTGGGCTTCGGGGTGCCTATCGTCACAAAGCATTGAAAGAGGTGTCAGCCGTTACTAGGCTTTGGAGTGCATGCCATTATAGGGCTTTAAAAGAGGTGCCAGCTATTACTGGATTTTGAAGTGCCTATCGTTGTAAGGCTTTGAAAGGGGTTGACTAGCTAGTCAAAATTAGGCAGAGATGCCACAAATTATTGAACTTCAAGGTGCCTACTGTTGTAGGGCTTTGAAAGGGGTGCATCATTATTAAGCTTCAAAGTGTTTGTCATTGCATGGCTTTAAAAGAGGTGATAGCTTTTACTAGATTTTGGGTGTGTTTGTTGTTGTAAGGCTTTAAAGGAGGTTGACTAGCAAGTCAAAATGAGCCCCAAAGATAAATGTAAAGTGATCACATTGGATGTGATATAACTAATACAAAACTTTAATTAGAAGCTTGAACTTTATGTTTGCCCCATATGCTTTTTTAGTACAATGAATAACACAATTATTTTTGAAGCCTCTCTTTGTTTTTTCTCTTTGTTGGAAAACCATGTTCCAATTCACCTTTAGGCTAGCAATTTACCTTTTGCAAAGTACAAGGTTTAGCTACAAATGCAAGATTTCCCTTTTAATGAAAAGTTGTTGGATATACAAGGTATGTTCTTAAAAAATGCTTGATTTGAGAACGAGATGTGTTTCTATATCAAGTAGAATTTGATATATGAGAGTCGTTTGTGAAACATAAAATTTTTTAACTACTTACAATTGGGAAAGCTTTCTTTCAGATTGACTACTCCCAACATCATAAAGGTCCTTCTTCTCCAACATTGACAACAAAACCTTATTCTCCAACATTGGTTTCAAAAACTAACATGAACATAACAAGTTAGTGAGTAGGAAGCTACCACATCTAGAAAATGATAAGCAGAACCCAGATTTTATAATAAGCAATCACATTAAAATTACAAACTAAATACGGTGGAGAAACTCTTATCGCAATGAACACTTTCACCAAAAAAAAAAAAAAAAGAAATGAAATTACTATGAGACTTCTTGGCTTTATCCATGCATACCATTGTTACCTTGTCTTCTGGGCTTTAGCTTACCTCAAAATGTTACGTCGCTGCCTCTGCAATTAGAATCATGCTCAATCGCCATCCCCTGCTTTACTCATATTTTCTATCAATGCAACTCCATTGTTCACAGCGCGTTCATCCTTGTTTTCCTGAAGGGCAATTTCGTCACTTTCTACACATATCTTCCCCCTCGAAAGACCTCAGTCTTTAATATGATTCCAAGTCCTTTTAAACATGAATGAGGACTTTTGAGCAGTTTAAATAAAAAAATTTTAAAAAAGTTATGTAAGCCTTGTTGACCTTGAGTCTTGTCAATGAGAATCAACCTTAAAAAATATGATCAATTTAAAACGTACAGGATTATGGGCTTGTGTCCTTAAAAACCAGGATTATAAAAGTTAGACTAACCTTTATTCATAGTTCTACTTATTAACTTATTATGTCGAGCTAAAATAAATAAATCAAACCAAACTGGGCAACAAATACATCATCAATACTCCTTTTTTAGGAAAAATTAATTTGCAGGTTTTTCTAGTTTCTTCAATTTTGAATGAGGTCATTATAATATATTTTATTTTGTATTTTGTTTTGATCAAGTTATTGGGTACCATATGTTTGGGATATCATATGTTCTTGAGCGAATATTTAAGGGTTAAAAATCTCATTTAACCCTAAAAATAAAAACCACCACTAGTTTAAATAGAAAGTAAAATAAAGAGTAAAAGAGGAATAAACACAACGAATGTAGCCAACAGTTCAAATAAATGATCAGTTATAAGAGTTTGGGGGGCAGGGAAGAGAGCATGATCTTCTGATATTGTGAAGTCACCTAAGAAAGGAGAAGTAATTTGAAAGAAAAAAAAAATGTGCCTCTTTAAAAGAACCGCTCTTGCTTAGATGGAAGATAACCTTAGCATGTGAGAGTATAGATGCTAATTAGTTATACATAAAGGCATGGTTTACCCTTACATTTCAGTAGGTGATGGAAGAGTTGCTATTGGAAAGAGGAAAAAATAGAAGAAAAATGGTTTGACTTCACTTTTCTTCTATCTATAAAAGATAGACTAGTTTATATATTGAACGAGAAATTATTATTGCCCTATATTTAAATTAAACTTCTGCATTTATACCTAAAAGATATCAAAATCTTCCCTATCAAGTACCAACAGAAGTAGCTTGCACGCTATTGTTTCTGCATAGTTTTGGTTACACAAGTTTTTTTAAGCATCATGGCCTCCCTTCTATTTGAGCTAAGAGTGCTGTACGTGTTGAGCCCCTGTTCTGTATAATCGAAACAAAGGAATCTTATCCTTTTCTTCATGACGGATTGATTCTCAATTCACATTAAGAAGCAAAATCAGATATTTTTGTTACATGAAGAGGGTGAAAAACTAACACATATACCCTTGATGGTTCCTTTTCCTTGGAATGACATAGCAGAGATTGCAAGACAAATTCTGATTAATTAAGAGCAGGAATGAACATGACTCCATCTTCATGTACTGTGGCACTATCCCCGCTACGCTCGGGATAGACAACTGATGATTTTCTATTCGCTGGATAGATGTTAACAATGGTACTTGTATAGGTGTAATGAATTGGGATTACTCAATAAAACTGTACAAGATCAAGGCTGGTTTGACATAAAAATAGAACCAGCTTGAAAATTATTAGTTTGAATTATTTTATAAACCAATTCATCATATGGAACCGAGATAGAAGATGTTTTATCTTTATCTATTGGAAGGTTGTCACTTCTGCAATATTTTAATACAACAGTAAGATGTAATCAAACCCATTTACAAGCCACTCAAAATCAAACCCTTCATACATTAATTCAACCTCTCTATGCAAACGTCTTTGGAGTATAAGAATAAGTAATATTATAATCAACAAATACTTTAGAAATCAAATACATATAATATTATAATCATTAACTAGTTTACTCCCAAGCGCACTTGCCATGATTTGAGTGTCTAAAGTCACAAGTTAACACAATGCTTCCATCCATTCTCTTCAACACAAAGCTTTCCACCAACACATAAAATCCAAAATTCCTCCACAGTGTTTCATTTATTCCCTCAAACTTCTCCACTCTTTCAATTCTCGTTTGTTTCTCCGCAATATTCTTTCCCTCCCAATCAGCTCTCTCTTCCTCCCATCTCATTCCCTCCACAATGGCCATGCTCAACCCTACCTTTCTCTCTCCTCTATCCAAACTCCTAAACCACATCACACCCTCTTCAACTTTTCCTTCCTCCCAAACAGCTTCTCTACCATCTTCCAGCCCTGCAACTTCAGCTTTCACCACAACATCCACAAGCACTTGATTACTATTCCCACCGTTTTCGTTAGAGAAAACTCTGTCCCACCTTCTTTCAAGTGTCATTTCATAGAACACTGACCTCTTCATCTGCTCCTTCACACTCACTCCTTCTTCATTCACAAACATGAAAGGGCTGTACCATTTTCCGACGACCATTGGCTCGGAGCGATCTGATGACGATGATGAGAAGGTGAAGGGCGGCAATTGGGCTCTCAAGGTGGGGTTGATGCCGAGAGCTTCACCCAATTGGTTATGGCGTGGTGTCTTGGTGGACAGAGACCAACCTTTTCTCCTCAAGACTGAGGAGCAAACCCATCTGAGACAATAGACTTGGCTCGAAATCTCCAACCCTTTTGCATTATCTGAAATTGTTGATATTCATCAGATGGATTCAAATTCAGAGGTTTTGATTTGACGTCTTTGATGTAAGTGCAGCACAAACATGTCCCCATGTCTTCTTCCTTTGAACATGTGCTCACTTCACTGCAAGATTCGTGGAATTAAGACCACTGAAAGGCGAAAAAAAATAATAATAATAATAGTCTCATAGCAGAAGCAGGGAAAAACAGAGCACACATTTATGATCTGAGAAGCAGGGGAACTTTCTCATATCATATCAGATGCTTCTGTTACATGAGAAAAGGAAAGAAGTGAAGCATACCCTTGACGCCTCCCTTTCCTTCGAATGACATAGCAGCGATTAGAAGAAAGAGGCTGATTAAGAACAGGAATGAAAATAACTGCATCATGATACACCACAGATCCTTGTCTATTAAGTGTCTAAACAACTGTTAAGTTTCTGTTCTGTGGAAATGGAAGATTGCCGATGCCGTTCTTCCACAAGCCAAAACATCCGTAAGTCTCAGCATCTTGGTCTTGAAGTACTAGGTAGCCTGAATTTGGTCCCTCTGGTTCATGTCCAAGAGCTTCAGGATCCCTTTTGTACAAAGATCGAGGTCTTGTTACATACATTCTCTCTCCCTCTCCCCCCACCCTGTTTGTGCATATTTTGTGTCCTGTGATTGATTTATATAGTGATTCCTTGTGTGATTTGTCATAAATCTGACAGGTAGTGCACGCAGGTTTCTTGTTAAAACTGTTCAAAGTTATATAATATGGAACCAGCATGGAAATTTCAGGTGTTTCTCTTTTGTAAAATAAAAGTGAACAGGATGAGAATGGAAAATCTCCAGACACTTCGTATGTTTAAAAAATTGATGATTGACAGAGACACTAAATAGACGTGAATAATAATAAACAATCAAACGATATACTTGACTGGTTAAAGGTAAAATGCGTGTACTGGAAGCAGTATCTAGGGAAACTTGCAACCTAGGATCCCTAGAGAAATGTATTGTTCTAATTTAACACAGGCATTTGTTGAGATCTTAATTGTACTTAATTGTAATTGTGAAAACATATAATTGCTCATAGTATTTAAAGTCGTTTCTATTAAAATGTGCTCATGTGATAAGTAAGTTATTATTCACAAAATAACAACATTCTATTCCATTTTAATAAAAAATAATTTTCACAATAACAAGTTAAGAATAAAGCCATTTTTTATTGAGAGAACAAATTATGTTTATTGGTGAACAAGTCACCATTTGCATAATAACCACACTTTATTTATTTTAACAGGAAATAATTTTCATAGTAATAAGTCCAAAATAAAATCATTTCAATTGACAAATTTAAGTGTATAAGTCTGGTGAACAAGTCACCATTGGTAAAATAACAACATTGCATCACATTTTAATAATAAATAATTCTCTTATAATTTATCTAGAATATAGTTGGGGGCAATCACGTATTTTCACAATCACAATTAATTACAATTAGAACTTTAGGGATTGCAGTGTTAAAATCAAAATTAGTTAGTCCTTAATTGTGAATATGTTTCTCCAAGGGTCCTTGATTGTAATATTCCCCATTATCTATGATCATAGTTTTTTATTTATTTTTTTAAGAATAGGATTGGAATAACTAGTTCGAGCAATGTTTGAACTAAGAATCACATGCTTAGTTTGGTGATAAGAGAAAAACTGACCAAGAATCAATCAAACCAATATACTTCATCTGTTTCTATATATAAGGTGCTCTTTAACAACTTATTTTGTCCTTAAATATAAGGATGATAATAATATTTTTAAGTAACTAGATAATTTTATCTTTGTCTTGGAAAATGGAATAGCTCATTAATATTCCACCATTACGATATTATTAGGGGTAAAATTGAAAAATCATTGTGCTTTCATGTAAGTTTCAATTAAGTAACAAACCTTTATTAGTATGTCAGATTCAATTAAAAACACCTTAATACAGGTATGGATGGACTAATCATTAAGGGTTAAGTTTAATAGAAGAGGCTAATATCCTGAACTAAGGTTCAAACTTTTATTGAAAAATGTGCCCACGTTTAGTGCTTTACCGAATCATAAATAAGATTACCTTCAATAAAAACTTACCTATAAACAATGAAAAAAAGAAAATAGAACGACATACCTTTTAAACCAACATTTTCAGGTTTCTCATTCGAACCTAATACTATATATTTTATTCTTAAAAGTTTAATACACTACCATCAAATCCTCGCAGCTATGATCCTCCCAAAGTTAGTGACCACTAAAACTAGATGTCTGGATCTAAGAGCACTAACTAAAGGTTAAAAAAAATAATCTATATAATCTCTGAGAAAATGATTAATCTTCCCATGATGGATTGATTCTCAATTCATATTAAGCAGCAAAATCAGATATTTCTGTTACATGAAAGGGGGGGGGGAGAAATGCATGCCCTTGCTGATTCCCTTTCCTTCGGATGACATAGTAGAAATTAGAAAGACAAAGGCTGCAGATTAAGAACAGGAATGAACGTGACTTCGTCTTTATAAACTGTGGACACTATTTCCACTGCTCTCTGGACATGAGAGATTACTGAGACGTGTGAGTCTCAGCTTCTTCTTCGTCTTGGAGTACAGGTAGCCTGAATGTGGTCCTTCTGGTGTTGGATGTGAAAGAGCTTCAGTGTTTCTTTTGTACGAAGATCTTGCTCTTGTTACATACATGTTTTTTCTCTCTCACTCTCCTTGCTAGTTGCTTTGTCTATGTATTTCCCTGCTTCATATTCACGTTCTGCCATTTAAAGCTAGGCTTGTGAGTTTGACAGTACTCTATGGTGTGATTTATAAAAATTACACAGAATCTGCTCTTAAATATCAAGAAGTTGACCATTCACCATGGACAAGAACCTGCAGGGAAGTTTCCTTGAATTGTCTAATCAGTATGTGATTTGTTAAATCTGCTATGAGCACGTTACACAAGTTTCTCTTGCAAAAGTCAGTGGGAGAATGGAACCTGACAAGAAGTTCATTTTTAAATTTGATGATTAGCCAAAGACAGTGAGACGTGAATAATCATACGTGTACAGCTCTACCGGATTAGTTGGAAAAAAAAAACGCCAAAAAAGGTGTAATGGAGGCTTCTCTTTTTTTTTTTTTTTTTTTTATAGCAAATATGAAAATGATATCACTCAATAAAACTGTACAACATCAATGCTGGCTTAATGTCAAAAGAGAACCAGCTTACAAATTAATTTGAATTATTTTATAAACCAATTCAAATGGAACAAAGATAGAAAGATGCCTTATCTTTTCTCTATTCTCATGTAGCTATATCTATGAGAAGGTTATCACGGCTGCAATATTTTAATGCAACAGTAAGATGGCACATCAAACTCATTTACAAGCCACTAAATCAAACCCTTCATACATCAACCCCTCCGTGCAAACCTTTGAGGAATATAAGAATAAAATAATATTAAAACCAAACTAAATAACTAATCAAACAAACACTTCAGAAATCAAATACATATAATATTATAATCATTATTAGTTTACTCCCAACTGCACTTGACATGATTTGAGTGTCTAAAATCACAAGTTAGCAATATGCTTCCATCCATTCTCTTCAACAAAAAGCTTTCCACTAACACATAGAATCCAAATTCCTCCACATTCCCTCAAACTTTTCCACTCTTTCAAATCTCACTTGTTTCCTCTCATTATTCTTTCCCTCCCAATCAGCTCTCTCTTCCTCCCATCTCATTCTTTCCACAATGGCCATGCTCAGCCCTACCTTCTCTCTCCTCTCTTCAAACTCCTAAACCACATCACGCCCTCTTCTCCAACTTTTTCTTCCTCCCAAACAGCTTCTCTACCATCTCCCAGCCCTGCAACTTCAGTTTTCACCACAACATCCACAAGCACTTCATTACTATTCCCACTGTTTTCCTTGGAGAAAACTCTGTCCCACCTTCTTTCAAGTGTAATTTCATAGAACACTGACCTCTTCATTTGTTCCTTTAGACTCACTCCTTCTTCCTTCACAAACATGAAAGGGCTGTACCATTTTCCAACGACCACTGGCTCGGAGCGATCCGATGATGATGGGAAGGTGAAGGGTGGCAATTGGGCTCTCAAGGTGGGGTTGATGCCGAGAGCTTCACCCAATTGGTAATGGCGTGGTGTCTGGGTGGACAAGTTCCAACCTTTTCTCCTTAAGAAGAGAGGAGCAAACCCATCTGAGACAATAGACTTGGCTCGAAATCCCCCACTCTTTTTCATAATCTCAAATTGTTGATATTCATCAGACGGATTCAAAGGTCTTGATTTGACGTCTTTGATGTAAGTGCAACACAAACATGTTCCCATGTCTTCTTCCTTTGAACATGTGCTCGCTTCGCTGCACAAAAGTGATAGACCTATAAGCTAGATTCATGGAATGAACAAGGGAAAAACAGAGCACATATGATTCGAGAAGCAGGGGAAAAACTTCATTCTACAATATCAGATATTTGTTTTTGACGAGAAAAGAAAAGTGAGGCATACCCTTGACGCTTCCCTTTCATTCGAATGACATAGTAACGATTAGAAGACAAAGGCTGATTGAGAACAGGAATGAACATAACTGGATCGTGATCCACGTCGGTTCCTTCTCCACTACTCTGTGTATAAACAACAGCCAAGTTTCTGTTCTGTGGAAATGGCAGGTTTCCGATGCCCTTCTTGCATAAACCAAAACATCCATAAGTCTCAGCTTCTTCGTCTTGAAGGACTAGGTAGCTTGAATTTGGTCCCTCTGGTTGATGCAAAAGAGCTTCAGGATCCCTTTTGTATAAAGATCGAGGTCTTGTTACGTACATTCTCTCTCTCTCTCTCTCTCTCTCTCTGATCTCTCTCTCCTTCCCTTGTTTGTGGATGTTTGTGTTCTGTGATTGATTTAGATTGTTGGGGTTGTGTGCTTGATGGTATTATTAATGATTCTGTGTGTGATTTGCTATAAATCTGTCAGCTAGTGCCCGCAGGCTTCTTGTCCAAACAGTTCATAATTATACAGGAACCTGCGTGGAAGTTTCACTTGTTTGTCTTTTGGCAAATACAAGTCAACAGGATAAGATTGAATAATGAATAATCATACGTTGTACTTGACTGGTTAAAGGTCGAAGATACGTGTAATGGAAGCATTGTCAATGGTTATATTTGAACACTCTTCCTAGCCATAATTATAAATTATTATTAATTAGCTTAAATGTCTAAGAAAACTGGTTGATATGTTATTTTTAAAAAAATATTCATATCTTTCCACGTGTTTGAGTGAAATATTTAAATTATCTTCATTAATTACATTAGTTTCACTTAAACAGGTATAAACGTTAAAAAAAAACACATAAAGTTTACCCAATAATTACATTAGTTTTTAGAAAATGACATATATTGTAGTTAGACAAATATCTTTATGTTCGTTTGAATGGATAGATTTAAGTTAAAAATTTTAATTTAAAATTTTACATTTAAAATTTATAGATTTTAAATTCTTTATTTGGATGATATAAAAAATTTTAAATTATAATATTAAAATCTTTTGTTTGAATCTAAAGTAAATTTTTAAATTTTAAATTCTATATTTAAATTTAAAA